TGCCACGGAAGGAGATAGTCCTCTAGAGATGGCGCCGCTGTCTTTATTGGAAGAGGAGCTCCTCTAGAGATGCGGCCGCTGTCTTTATTGGAAGGAAGCTCTCTAGAGATGGCGCCGCTGTCTTTATTAGGAAGAGGAAGCTCCTCCAGAGATGCTCCGCTGTCTTTATTGGAAGAGGAAGCTCCTCTAGAGATGGCGCCGCTGTCTCTTACTGAAGAGGAAGTTCCTCTAGAGATGGCGCCGCTGTGCTTTATTTGGAAGAGGAAGCTCCTCCAGAGATGGCTCCGCTGTCTTTATTGGAAGAGGAAGCTCCTCCAGAGATGGCGCCGCTGTCTTTATTGGAAGAGGAAGCTCCTCTAGAGATGGCGCCGCTGTCTTTACTGGAAGAGGAAGCTCCTCCAGAGATGGCGCGCCGCTGTCTTATTGGAAGAGGAAGCTCCTCTAGAGATGCCCGCTGTCTTTATTGGAAGAGGAAGTTCCTCTAGAGATGGCGCGCTGTCTTATTGGAAGAGGAAGCTCCTCCAGAGATGGCTCGCTGTCTTTATTGTGAAGAGGAAGCTCCCCTAGAGATGCGCCGCTGTCTTTATTGAAGAGGAAGCTCCTCTAGAGATGGCGCCGCTGTCTTTATTGGAAGAGGAAGCTCCTCCAGAGATGGCTCGCTGTCTTTATTGGAAGAGGAAGCTCCTCTAGAGATGGCGCCGCTGTTTTACTGGAAGAGGAAGCTCCTCCAGAGATGGCGCCGCTGTCTTTATTGGAAGAGGAAGCTCCTCTAGAGATGGGCCGCGCTGTCTTTACTGGAAGAGGAAGCTCCTCTAGAGATGGCGCGCCTGTCTTTATTGGAAGAGGAAGCTCCTCCAGAGATGGCGCCGCTGTCTTTATAGAAGAGGAAGCTCCTCTAGAGATAGCGCCGCTGTCTTTATTGGAAGAGGAAGCTCCTCCAGAGATGGGCGCCGCTGTCTTTATTGAAGAGGAAGCTCCTCCAGAGATGGCGCCGCTGTCTTTATTGGAAGAGGAAGCTCCTCCACAGATGGCGCCGCTGTCTTTATTGAAGAGGAAGCTCCTCTAGAGATGGCGCCGCTGTCTTTATTGGAAGAGGAAGCTCCTCCAGAGATGGCCGCGCTGTCTTTATTGAAGAGGAAGCTCCTCTAGAGATGGCGCGCGCTGTCTTTATTGGAAGAGGAAGCTCCTCCAGAGATGGCGCCGCTGTCTTATGGAAGAGGAAGCTCCTCTAGAGATGGCGCCGCTGTCTTTATTGGAAGAGGAAGCTCCTCTAGAGATGGCGCCGCTGTCTTTATTGGAAGAGGAAGCTCCTCTAGAGAGGCGCCGCTGTCTTTATTGGAAGAGGAAGCTCCTAGAGATGCGCCGCTGTCTTTATTGGAGAGGAGCTCCTCCAGAGATGGCGCCGCTGTCTTTACTGGTAGAGGAAGCTCCTCTAGAGATGGCGCCGCTGTCTTTACTGGAAGAGGAAGCTCCGCTAGAGATGGAGCCGCTGTCTTTATTGGAAGAGGAAGCTCCGCTAGAGATGGAGCGCTGTCTTTATTGGAAGAGGAAGCTCTCTAGAGATGGCGCCGCTGTCTTTATTGGAAGAGGAAGCTCCTCTAGAGATGGCGCCGCTGTCTTTATTGGAAGAGGAAGCTCCTCTAGAGACACTGACGGCTTCTCTACTGGAAGACCAGCTCTTCTGCACACACAGCTGGGTCCTCTACTGAGGCAGGAATACTCCTCGGGACACTGAGATTTGAACAAGGCTCTTCCACACAGTGAGGCGGTACTCACGCTAGACTGCTCACTAGCTACTCGGTCTATGCAACCTGAAATCGACTCCCTTGTTCACTAGTGAGAATATCCTCCTGTGCTGGTCGTTAGTTTCTCGACTTCTGCGATGCAATCAGGTTCTACATGAAGTTCTCCTGTGGCACATGTATCTTGTTCGCTACAAGGGCGTGACTGTCTCTGTTCGTTCGTCTCTGGTACTATACTAACCAGCTTTACCTCAGTTTCACTGGCGTTGAAACTAGTGTTGCTTGTCAGTTAGCTCTGATATTCACACGACAAATCTCCCTTCAGTTCCTCTGATATGTCGCTCACCGAATCTGGCTGGACTTGTCCTGTAGATCAGTATTCTGACCGCAGCAAAACCTTCAGAATTTCCAGTTGGGCACACCAACTGATTCGTATCTGGCTCGAAAACTTTATCAGCTTCGTTACTAAGTGGTTCTTCATTAAACTCTAGTACTTCTTCGATTGACAGCTGTTAAATAACAGGCTCGCATGTGGGTTCACTGTCATCTTCCTCTTCGTGCACTACATTCGGAACGCAAGGACGCGATTTTCAGCAATGGCTAGTGCCATGGTTGCACTCTGGACTTTGTGCCTCAAACATTAGCCGACAACGACAGTCGTAAACTACCATGACTGTCCTAAACAATTTGTCTTTGCACCCTTTCATTAAATTCCATCTTACGTATGCTCATCAGGAAGCCTGAAGTCTTTGTTTGGCAACATGAAACTACTTCATGTTTATCGGCAACAGTGATTCGATATTTTTCGTTTTCCGACACGCCATGCTTACCTGCACAATCTCGTTGGGACCATTCTGTGCTTGTGGGATCAGCACCAGTGTATTTAACTGTTGAGGAAGGCCTCCCTGTGAACACAAGCCAGTCATCAGACAAAATTAAAGGCAGTACTAGAGTAACTACAGTTCCAGAAAGCAGTCTTCATCATGCTTAAAATGATTACGTCACAGTAAATAGTAAAAGTACAAAAAAATATTTCTCATTTTTTCATAAAATGCAAGTAATTCTGTTCACTTTTATGGTTTTAAATTGCTGCATTATACTTCCTATTTTACTATATTGTTTGATGTAAACAGACACTCGTGACTCATACATAGCCCCTAGCAAGCAATTAATGTCAGGATCATAATATCATATCATCCAGGTTTTTTAGATTTTTAACTAGTTGAGAAACCATCTTATCAAGTAAGAATTTGACGATACATTTAGTCCCGTTATTAGTACTCACTTTTAATGTAAAAAAAATGGCAACAATTTTTTTTACAAATATACACCATAGAAAATTCGTGACGTCTCTGGACGTAGTCAATTTAAGGCGCCTAGATCTCTAATGACTTTTCACTAACCGCAGGGTTTATGCTGGCATCGAGCATGTTAGTCTGGTCCAGGATACACCGTGATAACCCGGGCGG